GGAAGGGGAGGGGGAGGGGACGCGGCGGCGGCGGCGGGGGAGCCCCCTGCAGCCCCGTGCGACCCGCGCGCACAGCGGTGCGACAGGAGACAGACTTTCTGGTTCCTGACCGAGCCACCAGGTACATACAAGAAGACAGGGTGAGAGTCACAGGTGGAAGTCGGCGTGTGCCCTTACTGCACCCCCGCCCCGTCCCCTTTCTTCCGTCCGCGTTACGTCTTTCTTCAGCATGTGTCAGCGGTTCACTGGTCCCCCTTCTCCCTCGCTGTTCAACTGCTAGCGTGATTTGTTGCATTTTCCGTAGCTGTTTATTCTTGTTTGACTTTTTGTGCAAAGTCACTTTAAATCTGCCGCAGGAAGGACAGCGCTGCAAGGCCTGTGAGCGGCTCCTGCAGGCGCGCGGCTGCCCCCAGCCCTCCTGCGATTCTTCCCGGGCGCCTCTGCCGTGTCAATCAGCCCCTGGCGCGCTCGGCCGCCGGGCCAGCCCGGCTGGTACCGGCAGAACAGTAGTTAACGCAGATCAGGTCCTAAGCCTTATATTTCACAGACAATTAAACCTTGGCCGCCGTTGAACAAAATTGTAATATTTACTCTGCTCTATTCTGAGGAGCACTTTTAAAGTAAAAAAACAAATACTACATTTCAAAAAGAAAATATGATAATAAATCTCTTTTTATGGATTCTCTCTGCATAAGTGGAAACAACATGATTTAAATCCCCAATACCCTCCTCCCCGCCCCCCTTCCAGGCACAGCTGAAGTTACGCAGATACTGTCTTTTAACACACGTTCTCCATCGCTGGGGGGGGGGGGCACCTGCGTTTGTTACATTCAAATGAAGTTTCTCAGGTGTCACACCCCACCCTGCCCCGTATAATATGTAACAAGGATTATCGAATAATAAGGCCTTGGGTGGGAAGTCTACTTTTCACATAGATCCAAGAAAGATGGGCATGGCTTGGGTAATTATTTTATGATTTCTCATTACTTTCTCAATGAATACCCATTTTCCTTTCATGTGGACTTCTGAAAGAGATGGGTGGTGGAGGCAAAGAAATATTTTTATGAGACTCTGGAGTATATATTAAAATGTACTTCTTTATTGTTTAAAAATGTGCAAGGTATGGACCTACATTTGTTTGCTGGTGGTCATAAAATAAATTCATAGCCATTGTGGCCAATAAGCAGTCCCTTTACTCTTTAAAAGTTTTTGGTTTATAATCCCACCTGGACTGTATCTTTACTATTCTGTATCACCCTCCTGTGATATGTTGGTTCTCAGTCTTATTTAAAGCAAACCTCAAAAATGATGGTTTCATAAATTTGTGCAATGACAAAGCCACAGAATAATATCTTAAGTCCATAGAGTCATGTGTAGTCATGTATATCTCTCAGACAGTTTTCTAGCTAACTGATTGCTTTAGTGTTTCAAGAGATAGGAAGCAGTAGCTAGAAAGGGTAGTATTTCATAAAAATTCTATTTTCATCAAAAAGATTGGTCTGGCACATTACTCAATGCACAAATTATAATATTACTTTCATGTGTGTTAATCTGTTTAGTATTAAAACTGCTGTAGTGTCTTAATCGTTAACATGTTTTGCCATGCCACTTTCAAATGGGTGCTCTCAGATAATTACGAAGATTTTGATGTTAATCCCACATTAAGTGAACAACTATGAAAATAACCTAAAAACATTATTATTCTCATATAAATGCCAACAAACACAATTGTAGAGGGAACACAATTACTTTTTATCTGACATTATCCCATAAGGATATGGCTACATTCATTTCTTTTAAAATCAGAGCAGTTTTCAATTACTTCTCAAAAGAATTTTTTTCAACACAGCATTTTGCAATGCCCATAAACCATAACAACCTTATACTGACAGATATATATTTTTCTACATTATTATTCATTAACCTCTTTGCAAACTCACTAAAATAGAATAATATTAAAAATATCAACATATAGAGAACAATTATTAAGTTCTACATATTTATTTAGGTAAGCCAATGCTATTAAAATTAAAAACATGTGCCTGGCATATAAATGCTTCTTTAGGAATTCTCTTTTGAATGCATAGTTATTATTTTTTAAACCAACTCAGATTTTCAAATACTGATTTTTCACTCTGAACAGGCATTGCATTGTTTTAAACAGTAGCTCCTGGAAAAATACCGTCTTTAGTATTTTAGACTTTCAAACAACGATTGGAATTGGATAAATGCTTTCAGCTGGGAGCACTTTCCTAATACTTTTGTAGGTAATAGGATTCTCTATTTGTGCTGGGTGACAAACGGACAGTGCCCTGGACAGACTGCCTACCCTCTGCAGAATCTACCAGAACATGGAGTTTTTCTATGAGATTGTGGTCCATCTAAAAAAAATCCAGTAAAATGTGAAATCAGAGAAAATGAGTATTGAATGCTTTTCTAACTGCAGTTATGAACTGATGGCTTGAAGAGGTTTACAAAAAAATGAGACAGGAATAATGCAGAAACACAAAATCTGAAAAAGAAAGTTTGCTTTAGGTGGGGTCTCGATGAACAGGAGTTGGAGTGAGGAGTTAGATCCACACAATGAAATTGATTGCTTTTGTTTTCTTCAGTTTGGTGACTTTTAAAATTGTTTTTCATTAGATAAAGAAGCCTATCCAAGAAAATCAGTATAAATTCTTATATATGGGAAAATACTAGCTTCTGTGATTTTTAACAACAGGTTAAAATAGAAGGAGCTTTTATCACTATCCTATTGTTCTTTCTAATGAATGAATGGTATAACAATTGGTGTCAAAAAGCATTGATTTTTTTTTCAAATTGGGGTTAAATTGGAGTAGTAAAGTGTATCTGAGAGATGATTTCCACAAACTCTGACTTGTAGAGAAAAAAAAATAAAAAAGCTTTTTCTGGAAGAAACCAGGCAATTTAATTTTATTAATCTGGGATAAATAAAGCAGGAAACTGCCTCCTTACCTTCCCAGTAATTCTACTTTTCCAAACATTGTTAAGTTCTGTGTATCTTGTGTTATTCAAGTAAAGATGA